CAATGAAACCACCTGATAATTAACTACATATCATTTCTGTAACTCCCTCTTCAGCCCCCTACTAAAGCCAAATTCCAGCTGAGAAACTAACAGTAACAGCCAATTTGGAAACCCACAACAAAAATCTTAGGTGTAGTTGAAGAAATTTGACAAACCTCCCTTTCAAATGCTCTGACCATCAATCCAGCCCACACGTGCTCACACCAAGTGTCACACATATGCAAATAACATTTGGTATGGGGAAGCTGGAGAAGGATAAGGCTAAAAGGAAAAAAAATTATGATTTTTTTTTTTAAAGAAAAAGAGAAGGATGTAGCAAGCAGAAATTCCCCCTACCCTCCAGCACTGCCCTTACTTCTGGGGTAGTCTTGTGTCTTTGACACAAGAAAAGACAGCTTAGGATATAAATTGGTTTATGTGAAGAATTAAAGAAAGCTAATGCTGTTTTCAGGGGAAAGACTGGGTTCCTGTAGTCAAAGCCCGGCGTTGCTCACAGGCTCTGCAACAGCTGCTCAGTCTGCAACTGCGATGTTCAGATTACCCAAAGAAGTGCTTTGGTTGGGCAGTGAAAAGCTAAATCTCAAAATGTCAAATCTCTGTCTTTCAGCTTTCAAAGTCCAGGATTCTTTATCTTCTCCCCTTTGCTCACCTCAGGCTCACCTGGACATGTCTTGTCTGTACAAGAGGGAAGACAAATGGTTCACTCCAGAAGCTATTACACCCGAGCAGGGAGTTGAAAGGGGTCCTTTGCTTCTGAGTTAAACACGGGGACGTGCTGCAATCACGGGCTCACACATCAGTAAAGATCCTACAAAGTCACAACCTTGTCCTCGACAGCACTGCTGGGATGACTGGCTCAGAGAAGAGGTGCTCCTATTTGCTTCTTTAAGACCACCATTTTTCCTAAAGGCGATGCTGTATTTTCACTAAAATTACGTATATTTTTCCTACCACAGATCCTTAAGAATGAAGACCAGCAAAAGCATGAACAGCACCACCAGATTGTGAATGAGTGCCCATTCCCAGTGCCCCATTTTCCCTGGCATTGTGCCCATTTCAGGTCAGTCTGTCCCACCCCAGCCCTGCTGTCACCGCGTCTCTGTCCTGTCCTGCCAGGCTCATGCATATTCCTCCCTTCCCAAGACTTCCAACGCCTCCCAAAGGGGTCCCCAACGGAGCAGGGAAGTGGAGGACTGAGCCTGACCTCACTGAGGGAAGAAAGCGACCAACAATTTAACCCTGACAAAGATCAAAAAAAGTTACAAGATAATTTAACCCCCCCAAGACTGCACGGCTGTAATCTCGCCGTCTCTGCAGTATTTTCTGATTTCTGCTGAGCTATGTTTTTTAAGCCCCACAGTAAACTAGAGCTCTCTGCACCTCTGGAAGCAAGGGAAGTAACTTTCCAGGGTGAGGAAGAAATCCAGGTTATGATGGGTAACACCTATTCCATCTCCAGCCTGCTCTTATGGAAGTGCTGGGACCCAGTGCAACAAACCTCAGCAGAAAATGGATTTTTCCAACAAGTAAACCCAGTAACAGGAGGTTTGTATGTTCCAGGATCTCTCCATACACCAGAAAGGAGAGAGAACTGCTCCGACACTGGCCAAAGGGCAGGAGCTCCGTGCTCACGGCTCCTGACCAGGGTAAGGTAGGAGCTGAGCTTCACAAACCTGCTCTCCCCTGGCCTTGCCCGGGAGATTCTCCTTCAAAGCTGAACCAGGAGTGAGCGAGAGAAACATAAGCACTTAAAAGCTTAAAATCTGAGTAACGATGAGCAAAATTAAACTCCCACACCAGGTATAGGTGAGAATAAGTCTGATGAGGAGAGGCTGAGGGAGCTGGGGTTATTCAGCCTGGAGAAGAGGAGGCTGAGGGGAGACCTTCTTGCTCTCTCCAACTCCCTGAAAGGAGGGTGTAGAGAGATGGGGGTCGGTCTCTTTTCTCAAGTCACAGGCGACAGGACAAGAGGAAATGGCCTCAAGTTGCGCCAGGGGAGGTTCAGGCTGGATATTAGGAAAAATTTTTTCACTGAAAGGGTTCTCAGCCATTGGAATGGGCTGCCCAGGGAGGTGGTTGAGGCACCATCCCTGGAGGTGTTCAAAAGATGGGTTGATGTAGTGCTGGGAGGGATGGTTTAGTGATGGTGATGCTTCTTGTTTGTTGTGTGGGTGTCTATTTTTGTCAGTCAGGTTGACGGTTGGACAAGATGATCTTTGAGGTCCCTTCCAACCTAGAAGATTCTGTGATTCTGTGATTCTATACGTGTGATATACACCCCCTGCACCCCAAGTAATTCCCCTCATTCCATTCCCATTCGAAACAATCCTGTAATCACATCTTTAAGAAGTGAATATTGTATTTTTACAATTGTTCCAGTTTAGCTAGATACAGCCCCGATTTAGAAATAATTCTTTTTGTTTCCAGCCCACGGTGAAAAAAGCCAGGGTGAAATTCTCCTGTATCTCCTTGTTGTCATGGTTTAGGCCACCTCAAACCAGGACACGTGTCTATAATAGAGGTTCTGGCCAAGCCCCTGGAGGGTTGTAAGGAGGAGGTTTGGACTCAGACTCACTCCATCCTCCTTTAATCCCAACAATATCCACCAATATTCCCTCAAACTGCTCATCCAACCGGAGAACCACACTCTTCAAGACAACATGTGAAAAGCAATGAAATACTCCACTGAAATAATTTTGTTTGGAAAGCAGTAAGAGATTTCTATTTTTATATACACAAATGTATATAAAAATAATGTAAAATGTAAAAATAATGTAATTTCCTACGACTGGCAAGGAAGTTTTGTTATAAAGTGAGATTTTACGCTGCAAAAGGATTTTGTTACTATTAAATACAATATTTGCAGAATGATAAAGGATGATCATGCACGTGCTGCACTTCTGGCAAGTGGGGACCAACTGCAAAAGCACATTTTTAGAAATAAAAAGAATACAGAGCTTCTTAAAAATCCTGGAAGATCAGCAGCCCTGGCCTGGCATCAAAACTGGTTCTGTCTGTTGGCTTTGGAAACGTCACAGTATCCTCCCCCGACAGACACTTAACCCCAGCACCATTTAGATCATTACGAACTATCCAGAAAAACTACACAAGCACATTTTTCTAAATGGTTTTTTTCAACCTTCCGACCAATTTAACAAGAAAACACATTCTGCTAGGAAAAAAAAAAAAAAAAAGCCTGATCTAAAGGAGTTACAAAGAACCAAGTGAATTTCTCCAGGTCACGAGGAGCCGCAGAAGCCCCTCACACCCAGCACCCCTTGGAGCAAGAGGCTCAGAGCTACATCTCCATCAAAAAATCACAGAATCACAGAATCTTAGTGGTTGGAAGGGACCTCTGAGATCATCGAGTCCAACCACAAAAAAATAAAAAAACACCCACAAAAATACCCACAAAAACACACCACACCACACCAAATGCCCACCAAAAACACCACACCCACCAACTAAACCCCACACTCAACACCTCACCATAAACCAATAACCTTGGGCACTAGAGCATGCCCTGAAGAGCCATGTCTATACGTTTCTTAAATCCCTCCAGGGATGGTGACTCCACCACCTCCCTGGGCAGGCTGTTCCAATGCCTGACCACCCTCTCAGGAAAGTAGTTCTTTCTAATATCTAATCTAAATCTCCCCTGCCCCAACTTCAGACCATTTCCTCTGGTCTTGTCGTTCGTCCTTTGGGAGAAGAGGCCAACACCTGCCTCTCTACACCCTCCTTTCAGGTAGTTGTAGAGGGCAATGAGGTCTCCCTTCAGCCTCCTCTTCTCCAAACTAAACATGCCCAGTTCCCTCAGCCTCTCCTCATAGGACTTGTTCTCCAGACCTGGAGATCTCACTGATATGGTGCCTGGAAAGAGGAGGGCCTTGAGCTGCTGTCTGTTATCACCTCTCCAGGATCTCCTCCTGCCCTGGGGCTTCCCGAGGTCCCCCCCGGCCGCAGGGATTCCCCCTCCCCAGGACCCCGTGGTCACCGTTACCTTGCGGACGTGGCAGGAGAAGAGGACGTTCATGTACTTGTCTTTCCGTTTCAGCTCGTTGGCAACGGGGATGAAGGAGCCCGTGCTCTGAGGGTTCTCTGGTTTCTGGAAGAGCAGAGAAAGACACGTAACTCTCCCCGTGTCGGGACGGAGTGAGGGGATGGCAGGGATGGTAGAGCTGCAGCTCCACCGCCTCGGCCCAAGGCCCCCTCCAGCCCCTGCCTCCCTGAGGAGCACGGAGCATCCGGAGTTTTATCTGCTTTCTGAAAAAAAAACCCCAAACCCTTAACAAAACAAAATGCTTGAAGGAAGGAGGGAGTAAAAGGAAGCAACACAGCTTGCCCAGAGAGAATGTCTTTGTTCCTTTTCATTGTAGGCTGTTTCTTAACATCCCATTATATCTAGAATTTTAGTTTTATATCGACTTCTTTGCCAGCTTTGGCCATTTGAAGAGCTGGCTGATGGCATTACTCATTACCTTTTAATGCTGCTTGTGATGCTCAAGCTTGGCTTAAGTATTCAGAAAAATCACTCCTAGGGCAGCAGAAGTCAAAGACGCTGAAACTACAAAAACCCATTTACAGAGGAAATGTCTCTCTGGGGGAGGAAGGGGAAAGTATTTCTCCCTCTCAAGAAACCAACAGTCGCTTTTTCAAATTTCCACCCTTTTTAGCATCCCCAGCCCCAGGCACCGCATCGATCCCTTTGCTCGTACTCACCAGTGCGAGGTAATTCCCCTCCCACGCTCTCTGCAGGCCAATATCAGCTCGGTGACCCTTCAGCACCTCCATGGCAGCAACCTTGGCCCTCAGTTGAGGTAGGACTTCTGGTGGGACGCTCCGGATGAGTTCTCCTGCTCTCCACCTGCCACAAAGCACCCCAGTCAGCTCCACAGCCTGTGTCACATGCTACGAGGAATGCTTCTGCCAGATCCACATAACAAGGACACCCCTAGACTATAAATGTCAGGGGGAAAAGAAGTCCTGCTATTGCATTCGTAGAGCTGGAAACTTCAGTATCATTCTGAATAGATCCACATAACAAGGACACCCCTAGACTATAAATGTCAGGGGGAAAAGAAGTCCTGCTATTGCATTCATAGAGCTGGCAACTTCAGTATCATTCTGAATGGGAGCCCCAGAGATGCTGGGAGGGCTGGAGCCCCTCTGCTGGGAGGGGGGGCTGAGAGAGTTGGGGGGTTCAGCCTGGAGAAGAGAAGGCTCCGGGGAGACCTTGGAGCCCCTTCCAGTCCCTCAAGGGGCTCCAGGAGAGATGGGGAGGGACTCTGGATGAGGGAGGGGAGCCCTAGGAGGAGGGGGAAGGGTTGGACCCTGCAAGAGGGGAGATGGAGCTGAGCTGTGGGGAAGAACTTGTTTGGTGTGAGGGTGGTGAGAGCCTGGCCCAGGTTGGCCAGAGAAGCTGTGGCTGCCCCATCCCTGGAGGGGTTCAAGGGCAGGTTGGAGGGGGCTTGGAGCAACCTGGTGTGGTGGGAGGTGTCCCTGCCCAGGGCAGGGGGTGGCGCTGGGTGGCCTTTAAGGTCCCTCCCAACCCAAACCATTCTATGACTCTATGAAGTCACACATCATCTCTGACTCCTACAAACGTGGCTGGAATACTCCCAGTTCCACACCCAGAAGTCAACCACTGGTGCATCTGTTTGCAATAAAGTTTTTGCGAGCCCATTTTTTGGCTCATTTACAACATCATTTCCCTTTAATAGCTGAATTTGGCCCTACAATCGAAACCCAACCAACTGTAACGTGAAGCAGCGCAGGGCAAAGCCCGTCCATCGCTCCACACCACGCTCCAGCCTTCAGCAGCAACACCAGCTCTCTAGGATCAAGGCTTTGAAAACACTTTTACAGACTCTAATTTTGTAGTGATGATGATTAAGCTTATTCTGAAAGCAGGACTCTCCACCCAGACAGGCTGTGGATGGCTTTCAAGAGGCAGCTGGGGAAAAAACCAAGGTTGACTTGATCTAGTGCTGGTGGCAACCCCCTTCGAGCAGATGGCTGGAACAGAGATCTCCGGAGGCCCCATCCAGCCAACGTTTCTCTTGTTCACTGACTTTCAGAAATCATCATTTTTCAAATTGGAATCATAACTATTCTGTCTACGACTTACCAGGGAAAAAATCACTAGCTTTTAGATATTAGGAGGTGGTAATAAAGGTATAAAATATCTTTTCTGCACAGAGAATAGGGGTAATAGAAGAACATTGCTTATGCTATTGCAGAAAGTACTATAAGAAGTCTTGAGGGAGTGGAAAAGGTTCCTCTTCTCTCCCCCATCTCTTACAGCAGCTGTTCTTTTCCTTTGAAAGCAACCAGAAAAGGGCCAAGGAAAGAAATACAATGTCCATCCTGACTAAATCTTTGAAAGAGAATTATTATTTGAATGGTCAAGGCTCCCAAAAGCCACCGACGTTTTCATCTATGGTGCCCAGTTGATGTTCTTCAATCATTTTCCCAACTTTTATGGAACAAGAAGCAGCTTTGCTCCTCCAGGGAAGAGAGAGAAGAGAGTTTTTTTGTACCTGTGGTAAATGTTCTGAAGTGCCTCTTCGAAGCGGCGCAGCACCTTGGGTGGGGTGGGCCACTGCACGTGCTTCCCGTAGTCCTTCATCTGCCGGACGTTGTGGAAGCGCCGGGCGACCTCGTGGATGTAGGACTTCACCTTGTAGCGGCGGTAATACTTGAGTATGGTGAGGGCAGCTTTGGTCCTCTTGTAGCGAAGGCGAGCCAAAGTGCCCCTCCAGACCTAAGAGTCAGTGGAGAAGACAGTTTTAGCAAAAAAACCCAGGATTTTTCTTTTTTTTCCTTCTATACTGCTGAAATCCATAAATATATGGTTTAGTGGTGGCTTGGGGTTCCTTTTGCTTTTGTTTGTTTGTTTGTTTTGTTGTTGTTGCTGGTTTTTTTTATCAGAGTTAGGTTGATGGTTGGACTAGATGATCTTAAAGGTCCCTTCCTACCTAGAAAATACCAGCGTATTGAGAAATTATTTTAAATCTGATTTACAAAAAATAGCTTTGGGAAGAGTTTGGGGGATGTCTCTTCTGGCCATGCACTGAAAGGGGGGAAACACGCAATAGAGATGACACCCTCCCAACTCGCTGGATGGTGACCAGCTCCACCAGTGCCTGGAGAGCACCAGGGGCAGAAACATGCCATGGTCTGGACTTCTCCTTCCCACAGCCCGTGGAAGAGGGTCTCTGGGGCCACTGGTGGCACTGAGGTGACTGGACACGGCTCGGCCGAAGCCCCCGTGTGGGGTGTGATGTGGCAGAGCCCAGGCAGGTCCTGCTGCTTCTGTCCTCCAACCAGAGACACACGTCGGCCCCGGTGCCCCCCAGCTGACACCCACCTCCCGAGGGACCCCTCGGCAGCTGTGCTTCCCCTCTGACACCATCCCCCAAGATGAAGGTTGAGTTTTTATTTCCTCGTAGAATTAAACTGGAAGGATAATGAGGCTCCTGCACAGGAAAGCGCTTTGCTGCTCGCGACGGGCCCTGCTGGAGAGTTTATTTCCCTCTTGAGAAACACCCCATAGCACCACTGATGCATATCAAGCCTTCTATTTACAGAAGAATTAATTAATTACCTGAGACAATTTCCAACATGATATTCGCTTTATGAAGCTGATGTCAAAGGTTCTCCTGACAGCTTTACTGATAATCCTGAGATGGGGCTGAAAAAGCCTCTATGTAGCAAGCAGTTTGGCAGACGTGAGGGGCTGCTCTTCTCTATACGCGCAAAATTCGAAGAGGAAATAGAGATTTTGGGTTCCAAACCCCTCAAAAGCAGTAAATCCTCTTGTCCTAACCTCTGTGAGAGTAAACCCTCCTTGTTCTGCTTTGGCCTCGCTGTCCCTGTGTAGGGTGTCATCTCCTGTTCACGATATGAGCTGGGTGGCAAGGTTGACATGCTGGAGGGAAGGGATGGCATCCAGAGGGACCTGCACGGGCTGCAGAGCTGGGCTCCTATGGACATCACCGTTGCCCGTTGGGGAGTTGCCTGAGCACCCACCACTTCACGGGTGCGTTGGATGCTCCATGAAGTTTGTGTGTCTGAAGGAGGCCAGAACGGAGCCAAGACCTTTGGCAACGCTGCCCAACCATCCCAAAACACAGCTGAGTCCATCCACCCCTCACTTGTATCTTAGTGTGTCCAACTGGCCGCGTGTGGTCTCCAACTCTTCATTCCCAGGTGGGAACTGGTCCTTGAATTAGTATGGAATCACCACAAACCCTACCCATTCTGTGGGTCATTTAGCACCGTGAAGACCAAACTGCAGCAGCCAAGTCCCATATGGCTGAGAAGCAGAGGGAGCCCAGCTCAGTCCTAGATCGTACACTGAATGTTGTTGGGAGGAGAAAGAAGAAGGAAAAGGTCCTGGACAACAATGAGAAGCAGAGGGAGCCCAGCTCAGTCCTATATCATACACTGAACGTTGTTGGGAGGAGGAAGAAGAAGGAAATGGTCCCGGACAGCAAAGTGTAGGAAAGTGAAGCCTCAGCAAGTTTGCTGATGACACCAAGCTGGGTGGTCAGTCGACACGCTGGAGGGAAGGGTTGCCATCCAGAGGGACCAGCACAGGCTGCAGAGCTGGGCTCTGGTGCAAACCACATGAAGTTGAACCAAGCCAAGGGCAGGGTCCTGCACCTGGGACGTGGCAACCCCAGGCACAAATCCAGGTTGGGTGGAGAATGGCTGGAGAGCAGCCCTGAGGAGAAGGACTTGGGGGTGTTGGTGGGTGAGAAGCTCAACAGGAGCCGGCAGTGGGCACTGGCAGCCCAGAGAGCCAACCCCATCCTGGGCTGCATCAAGAGAAGTGTGGCCAGCAGGTTGTGGGGGGTGATTCTACCCCTCAGCTCTGTGTCCAGCTCTGGAGTCCTCAGCACAGGAAGGACATGGACCTGTTGGAACGGGTCCAGCAGGGGGGCATGAAGATGATCAGAGGGATGGAGCACCTCCCCTATGGAGACAGACTGAGAGAGCTGGGGTTGTTCAGCCTGGAGAAGAGAAGGCTCCAGGGAGACCTTAGAGCCCCTTCCAATATCTGAAGGGGCTACAGGAGAGCTGGGGAGGGACTCTTTGTCAGGGAGTGCAGTGACAGGACAAGGGGTAATGGTTTTAAATTGGAAGAGGGGAGACTTAGATTAGATATTAGGAAGAACTTGTTTGGTGTGAGGGTGGTGAGAGCCTGGCCCAGGTTGGCCAGAGAAGCTGTGGCTGCCCCATCCCTGGAGGGGTTCAAGGGCAGGTTGGAGGGGGCTTGGAGCAACCTGGTGTGGTGGGAGGTGTCCCTGCCCAGGGCAGGGGGGTTGGAACTCAATGATCTCTAAGGTCCCTTCCAACTCAAACCATTCTGTGATTCTATGAAGCCCAGCAAGCACCCAGGTGAACAACTCGACACATCAAGGTGACCCAAGGCAACGTGCTCCCTCCCAGACACCAGGAGCCACTCTGTTGAGGAGGGTGAGGGCACAGAGACGATGCCCACGGTGGCAGGGCAGATCTGGGGAAGGACACAGGACAACAAACCGTCAGGAAGAGAAAGCACAGGTTAAAGAGTGACTGATACTGAAAATCTCCACGCTGCGTGAGTATCAAATACTACAGAACACTCTCCTTATTTATTCTTTGAAATCATTAGACAGGTTGAGGGAAAGCAGCATCCTTCGCTTACCACACGCTGTTCTTGGTAGTCATTTTTACCACACTCGGTTAGAGTTGTAGTTTTAGATGTATATAACCTACATATCACAAAGAGATAAAAGAATTTTTTCATACAAAGGGCATCAGAGCTCCCAAGAAGCTCAGGGCTTCCTGCAGCCACAAGCTAAAAGCTTGCCCAGGGTCTGGAGTTCACCCAAAGTGTGTGAGGCTGATTGAAACCCAGCATTTTCCATGGCTGAGGGCACAGCAGGTCCAGAAACTGCAGGAATTTAGCAGAATCAGCAACTGGGATGAAATAATTGAGCATCTAAAGGGTACTGAAGTAATGTGTGCTCTTTTTTAAAGACAAGTGGATTGGATGGCTCGAGACGTTTAAACATAGACTGTAGTGTCACCAAATGTCCCTGCAAGGAATATACGGAGAGTAAACAAGATAAACTGGGTAAAAATCTACTGCCAATTCCTCATTTTTTAATTTAATAAGAACAGAAATGAGGAACAAAGGGTTCTAGGTCACAGTTAAAACTGCCTTCTGGATGATACGAAGGATCTCCAGAAAAGAACACGAGTGGTAAATCTGTGTGAGCTGCTCATGACTTTGTAGAGCTTCGCTTCTGCGGGGTTTTCCCCCCAAATATTTGGAAATGGTTTTAGATACAAACCAAGGTCTTGCTTCCTGGTGCTGGAAGCTGGAGGCCGGTCTCTGTCTGGGGTTATTTTTCACACCAGGTGGGCACGGGTGGCACAAAGGTGCTGGGGCAGATCGCCCCGACGTCGGATCGGTGGCAGCGCTGCCGGAATTGGCTTCACAGCACCAAGTGTCACAACGGCTCCAAACACTCCCCTTCCCAACCCAATCATCCACCCGAGCCGTGCCCCTTGGCTACACACAAGCACTAAACTATTAATGAAAAGCATGTCCTTAAATCAAGTTGTCATAACTGGGTAACCTCCCGCCCAGCAAGGACCTTCCTAACAGCCACAATGGCAGCTCCTCCCAACGGGAAGGAGGAAGCCAAAGATAAAACCAAACTTTTCCCAGGGAACGGGGTACAAATACTTTTAAAATTAATTGGTTTTTTGGCTCGGTGTTTTTCTTTTCAACCACGGGGCTCGTTTCTGCTCCAGGCAGCCCATCAGCAATGCCAAGGCAAGCTGGCACCCTGATGGGCTCCAGCCTCTTCCAGAAGCATGGACCCTTCAAACCTTCGAATAAGCAAAGGCCGTCAAAGCAGCAAACTCCTCCTTCAGCAGCTGCTGTGTGTACATCGTGCTGTGTCCTCATGAGCAGTGGGTCAGAATCATTCATAAATGGGGGGGCTGGAGTGTTTCCTACCAACACGATCATTCTCCGGGGAGACCTTGGAGCCCCTTCCAGTCCCTCAAGGGGCTCCAGGAGAGATGGGGAGGGACTCTGGATCAGGGAGGGGAGCCCCAGGAGGAGGGGGAAGGGTTTGACCCTGAAAGAGGGGAGATGGAGCTGAGCTGTGGGGAAGAACTTGTTTGGTGTGAGGGTGGTGAGAGCCTGGCCCAGGTTGGCCAGAGAAGCTGTGGCTGCCCCATCCCTGGAGGGGTTCAAGGGCAGGTTGGAGGGGGCTTGGAGCAACCTGGTGTGGTGGGAGGTGTCCCTGCCCAGGGCAGGGGGTGGCACTGGATGGTCCTTAAGGTCCCTTCCAACCCAAACCATTCTGTGATTCTCACACTGGGAGAGCACTGCCTCTCTCACTGTACCTCTCTGTTTCTCCCCCCCCCTCCAGTTCATAACTCAAGAACATTAAGCACTGTAAAATGAAAAAAAACCCCACCAAACAACAAAATAAAAATAAAACTTCCAGTGTTAATTTTATCATGACATTTAGCAGATATTCTACACACGTTCACATACTTCAAAAGCTACTTCTCTGTTATTCGCTGGAGGACAATAGCAGAGCCACGGCCAAATGCAGGAGACCACGTGCCAAAAACCCAACAGAAAGATCTGTGCATCCAGGATTCCACGTTCTTCCGGGCCTCTGTACCCAAGGTAACGTCCAACTCATTTTCATCCCTAGTTCAGAAAGGATTTGACAGCTCACATGC